TATCTTTTGAAATTATTTCTGTACTAGGGAAAATGTAAAAACTTTCAGTTTTTAATCATTGTGAAATAAATTTCAATTGGTATTTGGGCAAGTACTAAAGACTTTTTCCATACTTCCCTGAAGGAAGCTGAGGTTTTACGCACTGTGAAGCAGACACTAGAGGCTCCTTGAAAATATATTGTATGGTAATGTATGCATACTATAATAAAGAATAACAATGATTTGTAGTTACTGAAAAGAAAATCACTTACGAAGTTAGGTTTTGCTACTTTGTTGAAAAAATCCTAAGTATGATTGGAGGTTTTCATATTCTGGGTTAATTTTATTTTAACTTGTTTTCTTGGAATTTGCAATAATTTTGAAAGATAAAAGAAATTATGTTTGAGTAAAGTTATTCTAGGACAATGAAGAGCCAAAGTTTTCTCACTCTGGATTGCTGCACTGTTCTCTGGGTGTTCTCTGCTGTTGGAGAGGCTTTGAAGTTGATTAAGGCTTGGCATACACACCTCTTAACAGATTTTTTTGAAGAGGTAATTTTCAGGTCAGGGGTTACATGTGCTATTTAGTTTAATATTTGAGGGTGATCAATGCTATACATAGTACAGGGCACTCTAGAAAAAAAGTGGGATTATCTGGGAAGAGAGGGAATGGAGTATACGTGTGGTAAAGGCAGACTTCCCCCTTCAAGCAGCTTAAAGAAACTTAAAGGCCACTTGTCTCCACAGATTGCAATGTGCAAAAGTCAGTGTTGGAGTACAATGAGGAATTTCATAAATGTATGGGAATGTGTGGTAGATGCAGTGCTCTATGTGAATACAGTGTGGCAAATCAAGAGTCTAAGAATAGTTAGTAACAATAAAGATGAAATATTACACATAGTAATCTGCCAGTTTATATTTGTTGAAAAACATTTTAAGTAATTTTCAGTCTCTATTTACTTTCAGCCTGGCATCCCTGATAAGGTAATTGTGAGGAGAAAAATTGCCTAAAACTAGCATAGTAAAAACCCCCAAAATAAGACAATGCATTGTATTAAACTTTATCAAATATAGTATGAGAGCAGTAGTGTAAGTGAAGAAAGTGACTCAAGAAGTTTTCAGAATGTCTGTTGGTTAAATTGAAAATGTGATTCTTTGAAGATGAATAGATGTAGAACAGATCCCCACTTCCTGCCCTGCACCCCCCCCCCCCCCTTTTTTTTTTTTTCTTCCTTTTCATTGCTTGCCATTCTCATTTTACCACATTTGCCTTTGGGATAACAGATTTTATTAATTCTCTTTGAGTTGAACAGGTACCTTTGATGTAGCTGATTAAAGTTGATTTAAACAAAGTACTTGTATAATTTAATGGATTGTCCACAAAGTAAACCAGTGGATAATGTTTTTCTTTTAGAACCAATTACAAGGAAAGAGCAACCTATTGCCTCCTTTTTTATCTGCAAAACTAGTAAAACTTAAAACTCCCAGACAGTTTGCTGAAGTGTAGTGAACTTGCTTCAGGCATCTAAGTGGGAGGTTTAGCTTGTAAGGAGAAAATAGACTTTCCTCATCTAAGATTTGTTTTAAAGAGCTACTTCTCTGTATTAACAGATGGAGCAGATGGAGTCTGAATGTTCCTGAGTTGTGAACGCAAGCAAACAAAGTAGTTTATGTTTGAAATAATTTGCTAGCTGTGTTGCAGTATTTGGAATTATCAGAGGGGATCTTTAAAAGGCTTAAATATTTTAAGTCTATATTGAGAAAATAGATAAAGTTGCCACAGAATAGATAAGTCTAATGAACTTAAACTCTAGAAACTAAAATAGAAGTAAAAAACCCCAAAACATTAGCTTATTTTTTAAATATTTGAATGCCTACTATTACTGCTTCTAAGTTGAAAAAAGTGAAGACATTTTGAAAATGTAAATAAAATTTTGAAGAAAGTAAATAAAAAGTAAATAAAAAACCCAACCCATCTGTTGTATAGCTATAGAAAAACTAATCAAGATGTTTACTGATATTTCAGAAGTCTTTGAACAAAACCTTGTTATGAGAAATTGGAACTTCCATTTGCTATAGCTCCTCTTATATGTCTGTGATTGGATTAATCTCTTCCTCTGCAAAAGTTATGGACCCCTTGGCTGATTCAGACCAGCTGAAATTCTGCTTTGGAAGATCTAAGATATTGCACTCAGGGCTCAAATAAAGATGAAAGGGTTAATAGCCATAACACACCCATATAAAACCTTTTCCAATGCTGGGAATGTTATGTTTTGCACTTTTTTGTTACTACCCGATTAGAAGAGCTTTTCTGATACAGAATATCAGTCCTGAAAATGTAGGATTTTAAGTGCCTTGATAGCAGTTCAGAGATTTTTTACTTCAAATTCTGTAGCAGTGAATGTGCTACTGTGTTGCCCCTCCTGCCTCAAATTTCTGAAGGTGCTGTCTCATAGCAAATGAGACTAGTCAGTAAAAATCAACATTATTTCATAAGTGCACTCTTTTGGAAGAGTCATCTCTGCCTGCTAACCCTTAGTATTGCAGAAGGCCCCAATGTCCAGCAAATGAGATTTGGTCTCAGGCTTTCTGCATGAGCAGGTGTGCAAAACACCTTAGAAAATGTTGCAAGAGAATGGTGAAGGTGTGCCATAACAGGTAAGTGCAGTGAATAAACGGTGTGTTATTTCTTGTTTCTAATGTGTTAATTTAGGAGAAAGGTGCTAAACAGGAAGTAAAAGGTCAGTCAGATTGTTTTTCCCTCTCCTACTCTTCTTTGGACTTGGAGTGACATGTTATAGAAGAGACTGGTGCTATACAAAGTTGCTTGCTTTAGAACCAGCTAAAAGAGGACAAGCATGAGTGCTGTATGTTCCTTTTTGATAGACTTGCTGTCCCAAGGTTGATGGAGCAGCTGATATAAAGAATTTGGTTAGTATTGGTTCAGTTAACTGATACCATTCTGGTATTGTAGCATACAATATAAATAATGTGAGCTGTATTATGTTTCCTTTTAATGCATCTACTTGCAAGACATAAAAAAGGGTATGCATTGCCACGTGATTATTTGATTTCCCTACTGAGATATTTCTCTGATGCTACTTTTTAGAGATTAGATGTTACACAAGTATGATGTGCTTTGCCTTTTATAAGTGCTTTCATGTGATTTAATTTGTAATTGATACATTTTGGATGTCAATAGATTTCATCTGCATTTGAACTCTTTCCATGCATTTCCAGTGAAGTAGGTATTGAATTGTATTTTTAAAAGAAATTTTAGAAAATTCTGGATTACTTTATTCCAGAGTTTAAATACATTTAAACTAACCAAAGTGAGTGATTGGAGAATTTTGATTTTGTGATTGTGTTTTCCCTGACGTAACTTGCACTTACTGTAGAACATATACAAGCATGTTTATCCTGTAGTGTAGCAATAGCTCTGAGCTGCCAACACCCTGTGTGTTGTTTTTATCATTTATGTGATTGTGGGGAACAATGATGCTAGAGTTCATTTGAGGTTAGCATCAGGTTAAATACCAGTGTTTGATTATTACAGGTACTAGGTAACTAAATCTAGACAAAATGGAATTAAACCTGAAATGGCATGATCCCTTAAATGTTGTGAGAAGCAGCATTATTTTATTTTGGTCTCCCCAAAATCTGCTCCCAAATGAAAAGGTATTATTTCCCTTAAAAAATATTTTCTTGGTTCTTGTGGGGTTTTTTAGCCCTTGTTGGGCAGAATAAACAAAAAAGCAGCAAAGTTTCTGTAAGCTTGCTAGTTCATGGCCCAGATCTAAACTGGAGGAAGATCCTGTATAGATCCCAAATAATATTAAATGCTTCTAATATGTGCTGACCATTGTGTTCATTGAGCAGGATGTAGAAGTGCCCAAAACCCACCTGTCTCTATTTGGCTTCAAAACACAGGACAGTCTTGCTGTTCAATGCATGACAGACAAATGTGTTGATGGTTCTTGCCATAATGGCTTCCTTGAGTGCTGTTGGAGGAAAAGGTCTGCCTTGCCTTTTCTCCAAAATGTCCATATTTTACAGCCCTTGGTTCTCAACTGGGGCATCCACAGCATTCAACTGCTTACTAATAATGGATTTGAGTGGCTGTGTAAGCACCCTCCTGGATCTTAGGGAGGGATAATCTTCCTGTAACCTTCAGATGTGCCTACTGTTTTTGTGAAGTAAATACTCCTGTTTTACAGCAAAAACAGTTTCATGATACTGTTCACAATCAAAAAATCACAGTAACAAGGCATCTAGCTCAGCTGATGAGCAAAATTCCATTAGTAATGATGTGTAATGTTGATATGTCAAACTTCCCACTGGAACACACACAAGATTAAACTAGATCTAAGACTCAGAAGCACGGTAGCACCTCACAGTGTGATGCTTGGCCAATGCCAAAGTTTATCTCCAGCTCTGTTGTACTGCCTTGGAACAGACAGTATCTTCCAAACTTCACTCCGAAGCTGCAATTTGAAACCCTCACTTCATTTTATATAAAAGTAACTATTAAAAAGATGTATGTATAAAACCCTTTTCTGTCAGAGGGGACAGGGGCTTTTCCCCATCCCTTTGACGCTAGTAAAAATCAAGCGTCTGCGGCTATTCTGAGTCCCCTGCCAGCCGAAGGGAAGCTCGGTCGTAGGAAGGGGGTTCCGGGCGGCGTGGTTCGCCCTGTCAGCGGCTCCGAACAGAGGCAGCGTTACCAGCACTGCTGGGAGATGGAGCGGTAAGAGGGTCACAGAACCATAGACCGTCCTGATTTGCAAAGGATCCACTAGGATCACGGAGTCGCACAGGACCTGGCCGCGCACAGGACACCAAGAATGACACCATGGGCCTGAAGAGCGTTGTCCAAACGCTTCTAGAGCTCGGTCGGGTTTGGTGCAGTGCCCAGTGAAGGTTGTTGGAGGTCGGACGCCGCGCTGCACTTTTGCTGCGCTCGGGGCTTTCCGCAGCCCCGCCCCTGCTCTCGGCGAGCGGCAGCGCAGCCTGGCTCCCGCGGCCGGCGCTCGACGCGCGCTGCCTGGCGCCGCCCGGGCCGCCGCCGCCATGGCCACGGAGGACGAGATCATCCGCATCGCCAAGAAGATGGACAAGATGGTGCAGAAGAAGAACGCGGTGAGCGCCGGGACGGGGCGGGAGGCGGATCGGCGGCGGCGCCGCGGGCCCCGGCGCGGCCCCGGCCGGCCCCGCGCTGCCTCCTTCCCGCGGGCGCGGGGCCTGTCCCCCCGCGCCGCCCGGCGGCCTCGGCGCTTCCCTCGGCGCTTCCCTCGGCGCTTCCCTCGGCGCTTCCCTCGGCGCTTCCCTCGGCGCTTCCCTCGGCGCTTCCCTCGGCGGCGCCGGCCCCGCCACAGGAGGGGGACGGCAGCCGGTTCTGTCCCCGGCGGCGCGGCCCCGCCGGCCCCGCTCCAGCGCCTTCGGCCGGGAGGAGGTTCCCGCCCGGGCACCGGCCCTGGCCGGGAGCGGCTGCGCCGCCGCTTCCTGCTCGTGGGACCGCGGGGCTGGCCTTGCGCGGGGAGGGAAAGCCTGCCAGCCCCAGGAGAAACCTGCGGACATGGGCCCCTACATGGGTGTTGTCGCTTTTGGTGTGAAAGCTGGAGTTTTAGGGGGATGTGAAAACTAAGATAGGAGTAAAGAGCCCAAACCCAGCTGCGGCAGGGCCAGAGTTGAATGGGTGAACTTCGCAGATGAGGAATGTGAGCCTTTTTCCTTCCTTTCTTTCTTTTTTTTTTTTTCTTTTTTCTCTAACCTGCAACACTTCTAATTGCTTTTATTAATCTAAGGAATAACTCATGCCTCAGGACAGGGGAAGAATATAGTTTGGTAGGATTCAATTGGCTTAGCTCAAGTGTTATTGTCATGTATGCTCTTCTTACAGAGCTGAGGTAACATATGGTTTTTATATGGTACCTGCAAACACATCAAAGTAAGTAAAATCAGAGTGTAGAGCAACAACCAGATAACTGATTCTGGTTATACATAAAATAGCATGCAAGTAAATTGTCAGCTCTGTTTACTTTTTCTTTATCAGGTGGGCACATTGTTATTTTCTGGAAATTTGTGTATGTATATGTGATTATTGTTCCTCCTGCAAGGTACTATTATATACATAAAGTTTAGGGGTTTTTTCCTATATGTTATGATAATGCATTAAAAGCTTATTACCAGTAATAGTTAGAACTCAACACTGTGCAATTCCACTGTCTAGAAGTAGTTTTGTTATTGCTTAATACTGGAGAGTATAAAGAGCATGATTAATAATATTTGCATATTTTTAGAAATACTGACTATTAAACCAAGGAGATTTGTGTAGTTCAGAATGCAAACAAATTCATTGTAAGTACATACAAGACATGCTTCAATCCCTGAGGTTCCATAATATGGCTTGGCTTAGCTGTGATATATTTAAACTCTTAAATGATATATTGTGGCAGCAGGAGCCTTGTCTAGAGGAAATAATATTTTATGACTGGTATTTATTAACTCCATTGTTTTTCCCTCTTTGTTTTTATTTCTAGTCTCCATGCATTTAAACACAAAAGCATTTGCTGTCTCACGTTCTGTAAAACTGAAGTCATGGGTCTTTCCTACAAGGTGTTGAAAGGGTGAAGACTTACTGACTGAGACGCTTAAATATCACGGTCATGAGACTGATAAAGGGCAGCCAGCTCAATTTTATTTGTAAAACTTCTGATAACAGAAAGAAAATGACAGCTCTCAGGTAGCATGAGGACAATCCTGGGGAGTAGCCATACCAGGAATGCTGCAGGTGATGACAGGGTATTTCTCTGTGATTTGAGAGGCTTAGGAATTTGGATAAAATTCCCAACAGCAGCTGGGAACATGTATTCAGACATGTGTAACATAATTAACTTTCAGAACTCCGGGGAGTGCTGCGGTGACTTCCCTGGGGCCAGCGTAGGTGTGACGTGGCTGAACACAGCAGGCACAGCTGGGCCAGGCTGTGCCTGGCTGGAGCCAGAGCTGGACCTTCATGCTCACCTCTGTCCCAGCAGTGAGAGCATGGGAGTACCAGAGGCGTTGGGCTTTTGTACTCTGTGGAAACAGAGCTGCTTCAGTCAGGCTCCTTGATACACACAGGTGGCTCCTTTGTTAGCTGCCACTGTGGCCAAGAGTGGAGATCTGACAGTTTGTCCAAAGCACATGTGTGTAGCATGATAAAAACCCTTAGTGGCATCAAAGGAGAGGATGTATGTTAGTATTCAAACCAGGAGGTGTCTCAGTGTTTTTCTTACTAAGCCTTTGTCATTTACAAGGTATTTCTGTATTGTACAAAGTGATTTCCTACCTAATTCTGTCCTGCAGTTAAAATGCTAACTTTAGCAAAATTATTAAGGTAGTCTCTATGAAAAGGTGCTTTATTGTCTCACAACGGTGTGAAGAAGAATTGATAAATGCATTCTTACACAAGTACCCACTGAATAATGCTGTTCTTGAGAACCTCTTGTGTTCCTTTCTCCATTTTTACTCTTCAAGATCAGGTATTTGGTCTGTGTCTTTGAAAGAGAATAATTTGATGAGATGCATTAATAATAAAAGAAAAAAGATTTGATACTTGCTCTCTCTAAAGCTGTCAAGAGTCAGATGACAAGAATTGTTTGATCTCTCATACAAAAGGTGACTGGGTTGTGGCAAAGCACTGTGTGGCATGTTTTTTGACGAGTTAAAAGGGCAGGCCATGCAGACACTCTTTCTGAGTCAGACTTTTGATGATTTGCCCTGACTAAGGATTTAATTGTAGCTGTGCAGATTTCATAACTATTTTAGTGAAGTGATATATGCAGTTCTTTTGTTTTGAAGGAAGAAATAATCTGATTTAGTATTTAATGCACTGTGTGATACGCATTTCTGCTGTTGCTTCAAATTGAAATAGATACTACTCCTTCATAACTGTGATTGGATTAAAACCTGTAGTGCTTTCCTTTGAGCTTCTGTTGTAAGTACACCTTTCTTTCATTAAGCTGTTGTAATAAATAGGAAGAAAACTAAGGCTGCACCCATGGATTAAAAAAAATCAAGAACACCTGAGTAAACTTAGAGAAGAAAATAAAATTGTCTGTGTTATTAAATGTATATTCCTTTAAGTAGAAGGGAATTATAGCTGGATAGCTCTGGTGTCTTCAAAAATGTATTTCATTTTCTATTGCCTGAAGCTCAGGTTTAAAATACGGCTATAGAATACCATTCTGTGCTGTTGTGATCTGACCAACTGAAAGAAGCTGGGAGGAATAATCTACTGGGTCTGTATGAAGCTAACTTCTGTTAATTTAAGTGACAAGGTAAATTGAAAGCCAGCCAGCCTAGGAGAATGGGACATTGCCTTTCTTTTTGTATAAAATTATAAAAATGCCTTTAAATGAGAGTTTATAACAGTGGTCTTAATGGTTGGGGGGGGTTTTGAACACAGAAGTCTTAGATTAGGAGAAAAGTAGTTACAAATTATACTGTGCAACTTCCACACTAGTTTTAAGATACAGAGAGCATTTGACTTTATGCTAAGGAAAGCAATTATGAAAATATTTAGTTGGTATGAGTTTAAAACCAATATAAATTTAATTTGAAAGCATCTAATTCTTGGTGCACAGTATAATTGATTAGAGAAGTGAAGGCTTAGAAAGGATTAGTGCATTATCAATTTTAGTAATTTGATACAGAAACCAGCATAAAATATAGACATCAGCTGTTAGCCTGTTGTTTTTTGTTTGGGTTTTAGTTTTTTGGTTTTGATTTTTGTTTATGGGGGTTTCGGTTGTTTTTTTT